TCGCAAAAAAGACGCAGCAAACTCATCCGACCAGCTGAGATTGAGTTGCAACCGATTTGTGCGCCGCCGCTGTGTCATTAAGCGCTTGCGACTTGTAATTCGCGCAGCATTGTTGCATACACAACAGCTTGGCTGGCTCAAAACCAGCTTTCTTGTGGCTTAAAACAAATTATTTGGCATTGCCTGGTGGAGCGCTTGATTTATGTCACAGCACCTTGCGTTGTATGTGTCGCATGGTGTTGTCTGCGCGCGACAAAGATGTGGGTGTTGCAAGCAGTTGAGGATATTTATGAAGCGCCATAAAAGACACTTATCTAGATGCAGCTACAAACGCACAAGTATGTGGTCTGCGTGAGCGCAATAAAATCGCATAAATTTCGAATCAATTAAATTGCAGTTTTCTTGCAATTGTTGCAATTGTTTGCACCGACCACTGCTACCGGCTACATCCCTTGAAGACCTGCATTGGCCGGCTCACTCAGCAACCTCTCCAAAACGGTGCTTGGTCCTCACTTACATACTTCCTTTTTTGGGTGTTGGTCAATTTGTAATCGTGCCTTTCAGTCAGTCAGCTTTGGAGTGAAGTTCAGGTGTGCGGTGCGCGTGTGTGTCGTGACGCATGCGCAGGCGTAGAATTTCATACATCGGCGCTGGCATTGTTTCGAAAGCCACCGAAACCATTTGATATTCGAATTTTGCATAAAAATTTGGCAAAATCGTAGAAGGTGATTTTCGCGCACGTGTCTGCATTTATTAGCATAAGCAAAGGAATTTAGCCAAATATGTTTGAATTTAATTTCAGTTGCACCGAAAGCTCCCACATACAAGGCGATTTCTTTGGCCGTTATGTGTAAATGTATGTTTGTATATACTTAGATGTAAGTATGTATGTAGGTTCATATTTTTACAACCGAAAAGATATAAAATTATTATATACCGTCAAAAATGTTCAACAAAAGACATTGTTTAAGGCCCACTCAATATCAAGCCCGAGCGCAGTGGTTCTCAGCCCTATTTTCGCGTATCACGAGTGAGTAAAAAAAAATCATGCACCAAAAATGTAATTACAAATTTTAATACGACAAATTGTTAAGAATGGTTGACTAATATTATTTTATAAAAAATTTTGAACTTAAAAAATGCTCGTCGGAAATCATCTCTCGAACTCCCCCATTAAGCCGCCGTTTTGTAAGAAGGTACCTTCGGATGATCGTCGTTCATACATATTTCATTGAAGTTTCAACATACTCGTTGAACACACGTTGGATCTGTCAAAGGCGTTTGATACCGTCAGCTAGTCCACGCTACTAGAAGACATTGAAGGCAAGAAGGCTTCCTCTCTCCCACAGGGGCTCAAACGGTGGTCGGTAAATTATCTGAGTGGTCGGTCGACATTCGTTAGTCATTTTCAAAGACGAAACCAGAAAAGGGAGTTTCGATTGTCACTTATACTGACGACTACTCGATAATGGCGTCTGGGAATGTATTTGATGACTTGTGTTCGAAAGTCAACGATTACCTCTCCGAACTTTCTCGCTTCTTCACTGCAAGGATCCTAACCCTTTCCCCTACGAAATCCCTGGCAACCCTATTTACCATCTGGACGGAAGAGGTCAGACTGCGGCTGGATATTCATGTCGATGACGAACCAATACCGACGGTGAATAATCCGAAAATCCTCGGAGTTACCTTCGGCAGCAGTTGGAGCAAAGAAAAAAACACGTTGCTGGCAACATTCAAGGCCCTGCATGCAGTACCTAGTGGTTCCTGCGAATAGACAACTGCTTGCAGAACAGCCCTCGCCAAGGCTCGTCAGGAGGCATCTCTACGAACTGACGGACGAAGTCCAGAGGTTCATAAAAGAACCTTTGGACTCAACTGCATACCGACAAGCCTTAAACGGCATTCGCAGGGAGTCGGTCTCGAGTTATATTGACTCCCGACCTGTGAATGCCGTTTTGGGCGCACAACCACGCGACGTGCACGATACAGAGCTTTATCTGCCTCGGGGGGACTCGTACCACAACTTCGCTCTGGCTACTGCAGTAGGCTAAAGTAGCACCTGAGAAGAGTGAACGCAGATGTGCCCAATGAGTGTCCGGCTTACGAAGAGAGTCACCACATGACTCACGGCACCTCTTCGCATGCGTCAAATCCCCAGCCAGATAACGCACCTGTCCCTGGACAGACCCGGCGGAAGTTGCACTCTTCCTAACCCTCCCTTTAACTGAGCCAGACGACAACATTGATGGACAAGCCGACCCGAGCGGAGTTTGGTAGCCGCTACAACAACAACAATAACAAAAAAAGTAATACATAATTTAAAATTTAAATGATCTTACTTATAAACATACATACCTATACCATATATATTATATATGACATACATATATTTTTTTGCAAAGTGGCGATCCTTCTTTTAAGAATTTAAACGAATGCGATGTCCTCCTTACAAATTATTTTGTCCTCCCTTAGGCGTTTTAAAAGTTGGCAAGCCTAGTGGTGACAATTAAGTCCTAGATGGGTTTTCCAATAACAGCGACAATTTTTATTTTTTTTTTGTATTGAAATGACTAAATATTTTTCCATATTCAATTTAAATATTGTTTTATCGCTAAGATTTATTTATTTGAGATAATTTTTGTTAGTTCGACCAATATTTAGTTATCGGACAAGACCCGATGTTTCCTACTTCTCGTCCAATGGAACGAGCGTTTGCTAACAGCTAGCTGGCAGGTAACTGCAGCATTCGGCACTATTATGACCCAACAGGCATTTGGGAACGTTTCGGTGGTGGTCTCGGATAGACTATGTATAATTTTAAAACTTAAAACTGCTTGGAAAAACAAGTGTGAAGTAAACTTGTTTTATATTTTGTCTACAATTCATTGGAAATCAATTTCCTATTGGCCTCACTATACACCATGATCGTTGATTTAAGATCACCACACCGCTGTACTGTGTAAAATTGTTGCATTCTTTCAGGCGTAGTCAGTGGGTATAGCAAATAAGCCAGCGGAAAGAAATACCCATTTACCAAACAAGAATTTGTAGATCATGTTCATTTATAATCATTAACGGGAAACAAGCTAAACGATTTCAATTGTTTAAGTTCTATCTATGGAGATGGCTAAAAAAATGTCGGTTTCCGTGAATCATTAAAATATATTTGATTTCAACCAGTAAAAAATCGATTTTCCGGTTTTCCTTTTTTTGATTTTCATTGAAAAAATTTGTATGGCCCTGAATAATATAATTCTTATCATTTACTCCTCAGCTTATCTAATAAAAGGCGAAAATAATCCAAGTTCTTACTGAAATTTCTTGTACAGTGACGGTTTTACCGATTTCTAAGCTTGTTTCCAATCAATTGAGGGATTCACAGCGATGTCGTAAGTGTCGGAAACTTTAAAAGCTAAAATGAACGTTTACAGAACCTGAAACAACAGCCAACTATTTTTTAACACTGCGGAAATGCCTGATATGACTTTGATGGTACTTTGCGAACCCAGTTAATACATTTTTAGGCGTTTAAAGTTTACGGCATACAACAATACGACATTTACGACACCGTTGTGAATACCCCAAATGTGCTTTTTGCGATATAAGAAGCGTTTGGGAGACATGAAGTTCGCGATATTGTTCTAACAATATTTCAACTTTGAACATAAATAATTTCATTTAAGACTGTGTGCCAATCGGTAACTTTTTCCCCGTGGTGAGGCGGGGTGGAAAAATTTACTATGGTGTAGAAAAAAATTTTATTTGGCTGTGCCAAGTGTAGAGTAAAATTTCGACAGTTCAAAAACCAAACAAACGCTCGTGCGAAAACTCTATTATTGTGTGTTGCTGTAATTGTTAAAATTTATATTTATTTCATAACTTGCAGGTAACGTACGCCATTTTTGTGCTTTTTTCAACTTCCATTGCTGTCAAAATTTTATCTATAACCATGAGCTAGGTAAAATTCTGACCTTCGTATTCACCAATGAGAAATGTTAAATTTTTAGTTTTATCCGTCAAAACTTCCTCTTTTCCATCAATTGGTACAGACCCTAACTAATAAAACTTTATTGTTTTCTATATTTACGGAAAAAAAACATAGGTATTCGCTTGAGCTAGAGGAAGCATAAAATAGGTTTTTTCCACAAGCTGCTAAGAAGAAAAACTCAATCTAAGTATAAACTGTGAGCATAAAGCTAACAAGCAACTATCAACTAAGTTTTCGGCGAACTTTTTGATAGAAACATTTGTTGAGGGTTAACACGGGCTATGCTGGAAGGGAAGAAATGTTTCGAGTAAACTTTGGGTTAGTTTCTGCCATTTCGATAGATTGCTGACGTAACGCACACATACATACATATTGAAAATAAAATAACACATTTTCTTGTTATCTTACAACTACATAGCTTTATTTAAAATTGTATTTGTTGCAGAAGGGAAATAAAATCGTATTAAGATGTCAAACAAAATTACATATAGCATTTATAGGGAAATAGTTTTTACAATATTTCTATGGGTAGTTTTTAATGTACATACATAGATATTATTTCGGTTGGTAAAAATTATATGGCAAGAAACAAAACAAAACTAATCTTTTACGCTTTATCAATAAAATCGGTGCGAAATAATCAATCATTTGCGAAAATAAAATGAAATTTTTGCTTAAGTTTTTAGTTGATTTTTGAGTAAAAAAATATAGCACAGCTTCTTGAAATGACGGTGATGCAAAAAAACGTATCACACGCATTTCTGTTTTTGTTTTTTGTGTGTTTTGTGTTTTGTAAATTTTTGCCTAAAATCTGTTCACCGTTGTACATACATACGTATTTAAGTGCATAACACAATGCGCATGTGTGTGTGTGTGTGCACATGCAGACATATTTATATACACAATATATACAAAAAATATTAATAATGAGCACAAAACTTGTTTGCCAAAAAAAAATTAAAAATTAGTTTCGAAACAAAAATAAATAAAAATTTGGTCTTTTTTAATTGTTGTTGTATCTTGAACTTAACCCTTACTTTTTGCCAATGCTGTATACACGCGCATGTACTTTTGTATGTTTATATGTGTGCGTGTGCGTGTGTGTTAAGTGGTGAGAATGTGTTTTTTAACTTTGCGAAAACCCTGAATGACTTATTTTAAAATATTAACAACACAAGTGTGTGTGTGTTAGTGTTAGGAACATTTGCAACAATCAATAGTTTTATGTAGTAGTACAATAGATACTTTAAAATAAGTTAGTAAATTTGTCATGTGGCCACGTTTGCTGCTCGCTGCTCGCTACTCGCTACTCGCTGGCGTCAAACGCGTCGAAGGCAAAATACAATAAATTCATTCGTTTACGAAACCACTTTCAATGCTTATCTAACTGACAAATACGAGTAAAGTTTTTGTTTTTTTTTTCATATTCAAAACTAAAAGCAAAACGTCTCTATGTTGAACTAAAAGCAGCGAAATTACCCCGCAAACCAAAGTTTCCAAAATCTTAGCGAAATCTTTAAGAGTATCAGAAATGTCTTACGAATTCTGTAACGATTTGCTTACGAATTTTCAAAGAAAATCGAAAAGAAATTTCTGTACAATTTCTTAGAGATTTCGTCCGAGCGCAGCACTGTTATCATTACTTTACCAATTTCCCTGCGAAATTTTGAAAAGTATCAAACTACATTTCATTTCAGACACCTATGTATTTTTTTTTTGTAATTCTTTAAGATTTCCCTACTAGGTTTGCAGGGTAGCCATCAAATAATTAAGTATGTATGTATGTATGAAATAAACACTAAGGACGTCGTCACTGCATAGTCACAATTCCGGCTACAATTATTGGGTACTTCATAAATTAAAGCATTCTTCCATTTCCATTAACTTTACTTTAAAATATTTTCACAGACTATCTGTACTACGGTAATCTGCGCTAACAGCCATGTTAACCACACAAAGTGAATACTTCGGTTAAAAATAAAAAAAAATGTTTAGTAAATTAGTATTAATTGAAATAATAATAAATTCTTTGTTTCTTTGCAGACACAAAAGAAAAAAACAAAGCTTCACAGACCAATTGCAATTCGCCAGCCGGGCACAGTCGGACGCGGCCGGCGAAGGAACAAAAAATACTACATTATTACGACTACCTGGTTACTACTCTCCCGTTGCCGCGCCCGCTCGCCCGCCGTTGGCAAGCCAGCCAGCCAGCTGCTGCTGTTGCTGTTGGGCGGCGGCAACTGAAACTAAAATTCCTACATACAAACATTTTTCGTTACAAACTAAATAAAAATCTTACATTACTATACATAATATGTAGATCAACTGTGTTTAGCCCATTGCAATTCTCGCTACAAACTTCAACGGTAATTTGTTCAATTTTCATCTCTGTTCTGTTTTTTTTTTTTTGGTTTTTGTGCAAGATTTTTGTTTTGTTTCTTAGTTATGCAAATGGTTACTGTTAATTTCTTTGCTTATATTGCTACGTTTTTTTTTACTTTTGAAATCTGTTAACTTGAAAATTTCGCTTATTTTGGTTTTGTTAAAATCATCTTGCCGATATGCAAAGTCTCCGCGCATTAACATAAAGTTGCAATTGGTTTAATTCGTTTTACTTCGAATTCTACACTACGTAACTAACGCTAAGTATGTATGTATATATGTATGTATATCATTATGTATTATTATCGCTCATTATTAATTTTATGATTTTGTGATACTGCAGGTCACGACGCTAAGCCATGTGCGATCTATGAGGAGTGGCCTCCAACATGGCCGCCACTGAACTCGGCATGGAACTCGAGTATGCTCACGTACAGGCCAGTGACGAAGCCGACAATGCCGAAGATAATCAGGCCGATGTCCTTCCACAAACGCCACTTGAAGCGCCCGTAGCCGGGTTCCTCGCGATACACAGCCAATTCGATGATCGACGGTATGATCATGCCGAGCGTACTAAGGCACACAGCGCCGATCAGCGAAATGAAGGGACCCAAGTTGGGTAACGCAACCGCGATAGCGCCACAGAGCACCTAAAGCAGGCAGAAGGAATTAATAGCAAAATTCGCACAAGCTACAATAACGGGGTCTCACTACTTACCACCAAGGCAATGCGCAGCGCATATTCGCTTATGTTCTTTCGCTCCTCAGAGATTTTGTGCGAAATGCCCTTCCAAATGATGCTGACTGGCACATAGAACTGCAGCGTGAAGGTGAAGAAGATAGCGGTGGCAATCATGAGCTTCACAGATTGCGCCAAACTGTAAAGAAAAACAAGGCAAGCAGACGGTTAATGACAAGCTCAATCCTCAAGCCCATTCTCCTAGTTGTGACTTACATCGCATCCTTGGGCAGATTCAGCGTAACGCTGCCCTGTGTATCAGCGCCATATTTCAAGTAGCCAAAGAAGCCAACCAGCGTATAGAGCGAGATGACAACACCCATGCCGAAGTTCAATACCGAGGGGCAGCCGATGAAATGCGACGGATTCTTCATGTCGTTCTCCAGCGACATTACTACACCAATACCTTCCAACGCAAAGATCACAGTGCCGAAGAAGAGTGGCCACTGCACTGGTGCCACAATGCCATCGCGTTCGTCCGGTGCTGGCAAATCGTCAAACACATAGATGAATGTAATCACAATGCCCACAAACATCAGCACGTTGGCGAACATCGAGAAGGGTGTCAAGAATTTCAGGTTGCGAATGAGGCACATTACCAGCAGTGGACAGGTGACAATCACAATCCACACACGTATGCTCAACGCTTCCGCCATGTACTCATCCAACACCGCCTTCACGTTCGTGCCGACAAATACGAGGTAAATGCAACAGCAACCAATTAAATCGATCACCAGGAAAACATTCACTATGAAACGGATGAAACGAGACCAGCGATTCAAACCGGGCGGACCGTCGAGGAAGGCTTGCTCGGCCACATCGGCGAAACCCATCATGGGGATCTTACGCCGCCGGCAAAGGATGTGCGCGCATTTGACGAGTATGTGTACGCAGTAGGTGCAGAGGGTGCCGACAGCGAAGGTGGCCACCAAACCGAACCATAGACCGGCATTCATGAAGGCCATAGGCATGGCAAGGATACCCGAACCGAGTGAGCCCTTCAGCAGATGCACGAAGGTCTCTATGTCGCTGTAAGGAAGAGAGGGAAAGATATAAATTTTTTAATATTTTTCCGATCGAAGAGAGCATCTATACCTAATCCTATTTATTTTAACTGAAAAAATATGTAAACCGAGCCTAACTACTTAACCACCACAAAATGCGAAAAGGCTGTCGCTCTATTGATATATTTATCTTTATCGATAACATCGCAATTATCGCTATCGATATCGCCAGTTGTTCCTTTATCTGTTGCGATAGCCCTTCTAAGAGAATTCGTTAAGAAAAAATCGAGCTTCGACTCTTAATTTTTTTAATAGTTAGATATTAATCGATGTTCGGCAAAGATCTTCGTGTGAATCGGTTAAAAAATCGCCTATTTTAAAAAAATATGTTGTAAATTTTTTTATTTTTCTTCAGACTAATCTATGCTTTTATTCCATTTTCCTTTTAAAATCGGTTTATAATCGATTTCTCTGTGTGTAAAAAAATGTTTCGAGTATCTCTAGATAAATAAATATATTTACATATGTACAATTATCTTTTTTATATGCACGTAAATATAAAGCGGGCATCGTGCCAAAAAAAAATTGGTTTAGGCGCCAAGAAAAATAAATATTTTTGCAAATAATTGTTTTTGTGGATGTACACAAAAAAGCGCTTTACGTCAACGCTTTTAACAAAATTAACACTTTTTTTTTAATTTAAACAAGCACAGCTTCTAAAGAAACCCCCTTTCAAAAGTGACAAATTTACATATATCTGAACTAAATGGTTTAATATTTAGCAACGCCAATTTACATAAATATATCATTCCTCAGCTATTGATCACTCCCATGATGATGTCAGCAGCTATCGAGGGAAAATCGTAAACCGATTTAATTGACAATTTTCAATGCTTTTTAAGAATAAATCGACGCGAATTGTCAAAGGCTAACCGCGTAAAAATGTAAATAACGGGAGCAAAAGCACAAAGTGCAAAATGTAGTGCCAAAATTAATTTGTCGATCAGCGAGAAAGTGCATAATAAGCATTGAGTGATCACGTTTAGTGGCTGGGCTTGGTGTGATGAACTGGCGCTCACACTCATGTGCTTAGAGAAAAATTCATATTCGCTCTGCAAATTTGCATTTATGCAGCTCACTTGTTCTCTTCGCTTTTCTTGCTCTGCTTGCGCTAATTCTTGGCGACAACTTCTCGCACATTTGCTCTGTTTTTTTTTTCATTACCAAGGACACTCACGAATTTTTGTGCCAATTTTCGTAGACGCCAAGAAAAAATTTCCGCTGACGTTATGTCGCGATCTACAACATGCCATTGCATATTTGTCTATACCTACCTACTTATATATACTATATACGTATACATGAATACCTTCTTTGAATAGTATAAAAAATAAAAAAACTGTTCGGTCAAGTGGAAAATTACCGGCACAAAATAGATCTGAATTATTTGCTACATTTTCGTACTAAGTTTTCGCTTGTACAATATGTTGGGGAAAAGTTGAAAAACATTTAAATTTGCTAAAAAAGATACGAGGCTACCGTTTTCACTAATTCAACGGCAATGGCCGCTTGAAGTTCAAGATTTTGTAAAAGCGTTGACAAGGAAATTTCTTAAATTGAAAGTTCTTAATGAAAGCATGACAACCAGTTGAAAGGCCACAATTTGTTATCGATTTAAAATCTACATACATAAATACATGTACATTAAAAAATCTAAAAAATTTAGTAAAACTATAAGCGATCGATGGGTTATATGAGCTCCAGATCGCAGCGATATCCCAAGAAGCTGCATGATCAATAGGCTTGCAACGAGGAATTCTCTTGTGAAATTTTCGCCGAGTAAGAGTTTACTGTTTTTTTTTTTTTTGATTTTTCACACCACCAGCCTTTCGATAAATGAAGGGCTAGCCATTGCCTTCAGTGCAACGGGCTGTCACTATAGCCACGTAAACTTCTACCTTTGGTGGTATTTTTCACCACTTAGGACCGAAGATATCTAGGCTTTAAACCTTACTCAGGGCTCTAAACGTAACATCCGTTCACGGATCGAAAACCACACGAAAGAAAATTACGTGATACGTCAGTCGTATAAGCTGAATGGGATAAAGAGTACGTTCACGTATGACATAATCCGAAAAATGTTTACGTGACGAGTAAAACGATATCGTATGTGACGATTCGAGCCCAGTATAAGTTTTGGAGTCATCAGTCCAGATTATACAATGCCTAAGCTTGGAATGAGTGCTGGGATTAAGCCTGTACTTAGTCACAGGGAACTAAACATTGCAGAGTGTCTGAAGAAAAGGTAACCTAAAAGAAAGGTAAGCCCTCAGCTGGCTGTTACAACAAAAAACGATTTTCCTGAGAAGTTTGACAAGGAGATATCCTAGGCTTGTTATTAAATGTTTGACCCACCATACCACAAGTTTATAATTTATCTGATCATAGAGATATAGATTCAGAAGAGTTTCCTTGTTGACAGACCCCACATTTTCCCAAAGACCTGTTAAAATTTGCCAAAATGCCGCATGGGCTTTGGCGATTTTATTCTCACCATAAGAAATCTGAACTGTTACTCCTGATTCAGACCAAAAGCGAAATCACACCGCCTTGAAGGCAGCCCCTATTTTAATTTTGATCAAGTTTTAAGGATAGCCCCACAGAGCTTACCTGAAGATATAATGTAAAAGTTAACTGGACACTTTGTTTGTAATATATCAAATAATTGCTATGCAATGCTTTATTGAATTGAAAATGCCACAGAAGCAAATGGAAGAGAATGACATTTGAAACTGTCAGGTAATAAAGTAATCTGTATTAGATAACCGAATTACCAAAAACTGCGAAGCAAAATTGATGAGTACTATGTGCTTGGATTGCGGTTAATTTTTCGACGTTTAAATTTTGCTTTTGAATAAATATTCTTCGGACTTTAAATATATTTGCTGGTAGTTTTTAAACGAGCAATTAAAATGTGTTAATTATATGAAATATATTGGAAACATTTGCTTTTCATTCACTGCCAAGCCAATCGCATTTAAAAAGCGCAATTATCCCAATTTAGACTAAAATAGATGGCCAATAAACAATAAGCTCTGCTCTGGTTTACATACATACATACATAAGTATAGTGCATACATGTAAACAAGCATATGTATATTTGTATATACAAATTGCGAGGTCTTGTGACCTTGACACTTTTCTGCACTTTCATTGATGAGACGCTGAAATTATTCGAAAATGATGCGAGTGGTGCCAGTCATCGGCCAAAGCCGCCCAAAAGTAAATCGTACAAACTTTTTCGATTAAAATTCTTTATCTACATAGTTACGCGTACATAAATATATGTACAAAAGTTCTTAGTTTGCTTTGGCTTTGAAACATCTTCATCATCAGATTGAATTATATCTAAATAAAAACTCATCATTTTTTATAAATTTTTTTTTCTAAGAATTTAATACTCCAATTATGAATTTTCAATTTCAAAATGTTTAATCCCTAAAAACCTCATTCCAATCAAGCGAAGCATTCCTATCTTTAAATAAAGTAAATATAATTTAAAAAAACAAAATGCTGGCAATACTCACGAGGTCGGATGATCCACTTTCCGGTGCTCGAACGGATTATAATTGACATCCTCTTCGTCGCCTTTCTTTCGTGTCAACACCAATGGCAACGTGGATCCGGCGGCCTGCTGAGCCGGCACATCAACCATATCCGAACGTATGAATCTGTCCGAAGAAGTGTACATTTCAAACATGGTTGTTGATGAATTATTTTCAATGTTTTTATACATTTTTATGCAATTAATTTAAATGTTTTTTTTTTTACTTTTCACTGCACAAAATAACTAAGATGTGTTAAATACTTGTAGAAATAACCACCACCAAGACTACGACTACGTTTTAATTTATTATAAATTTTCTAATTTTTTCTTGTTTTTTTTTTTTTTGTTTTGGCGAATGTCTTAAGTTCAAGTATTCAATAAATATGTATAAATGTCTTTAGTAGAATAATAATAATCGTGCGTTCATATATTTAACTACATATTTACTGATGTGCTAAGACACAATTTTAGAACATACTTTGGCTGACTCGAGTTGATCGCGCTACTCCTCGAACCGGTGTGCGTCTCGTTGTCATAGCTCGCCGATACTGTCGGGATTTTCTGCAAAGATATTCGAACAGAGTAAAGAAATTGTTAATCGTTCAGATACAAATGGACAGTGTTTTTTATTTTTTTTATTTTTAGTTCTGTACATATGTACATATGTACGTACATACATACAGGCTATATATCTTTGGTAAATTCTACATTTCTTTTTATTTTCGAATTTAAATTTCGTACATCGTTTTCCTTCGTTTTTATGAGTCAAGTGAATCGGTTTTTAGTTTTTGTTTATGTACATACGTACGTACCTACATATATATTTACAAATTTTATGTGGATGCTGCATTCATGAGCGAACTCTTTGCGTATGGGTATACATATTTATGAGCTGCGTGTGGATTAGTTTTCCCAAAGAAGAAAATTTTAGTTTTTTATGATACTTTATGATTTTGGAATTTATTTTAGAAATTGTTTACATGCATTTATTTTACAATTACTGGTATTTTATTTAAGTATAGGTATCTAACTCTCGATGAGTGTTTCAGATAATCGCTCTTAACGAGTTTGTAAACAAAATATGTCCATACATAAATATGTGCATAGTATATTGGCTTTAATTGAAGAACTTCAAGTAGCAAATAGTCTAGTCAAATTCATAACTGCTTATTGCAAATGCCCACTCAAGTTCGAACTTGAACTGAAAACAAATACCGGACCTTACTCAATGCACTCATCACAAGAGACAGTAGCTGTCAGACATAGAATTTCCTCAAACTCGAGACCATACCTAAACAATTGAAGGTAAATATAGAAAAAAAAATTTATGGTAAATTAAAAACTAGACAACAATAAATTGGTCAGTTGAGAGCTGCTCGCAAATTTTAAGTCACTTAAAAAATGGTTTAAAATTTACTACTTTTAGAGCTGACTTAAAATTGTGTAATTTAGACACTGGACATAAATTTATGGCCAATTAAGAAATGGATCTACATTTATGTTAAATTAAAAATATAACGTACAGCTTTTGGTCATAAGGTAATAGTAATTTTAAAACTGGCCATAAATTTATGGTCATTTTAAAACTGGCCATAAATTTATGGTCATTCAAGGCTGATTATAAACTTAAAGTCATTTTAAAACTGAGCACAAATTTATGGTCATTTAAAACTTGGACATAAATTTATGGTCATTTAAGAAGTGGACGCAGAACATTAGTATTTTGAAAACTAGACGGAAATTTTTGTTGATGTAAAAACTGCACATAAATACAAAGGTCAGCACAGAATTTGTTTTTGTTATTTAAAGCCTGGACAGACATTAATTTATGCAAAACTAGGAAAAAACTTTTGCTAATTTAGAAACTGAACATAAATTTATGTTCATTTAATAAGTGCAGTAAATTGTTGGTCATGTAAAAACCGGACATGAACTTTTGGTCATCTATTTACTGGACATCAATTCATGGTAATTTTGAAAGTAAACAAAAATTTATATTCAAGCTGAGTCTGGACATAAGTTTCGAATAATTTAAAAAGTAGGTTTAAATTCTTGTTCATTTAAAACTTAGACATAAAAATATTCACCATTTTATATAACCACAAATTCGCAACAATTTAGCGCAAAACCTTTATTCTCTAAGTTTTCGAGTGCAGATCGCAAAGAGAACACTCAGTTTAGTAAAACAAAAAAAAACTCACTCATTCACTTAAGTATTTCGCAAGCCTTGTGAGCACACATATGCTGGCAGACAGTGCGTATACGTACCAAAAAGACGCTATGTACTTAGGAAACATATTGACATACTGCATACGTACATACACATGTACATACATACAAACTTACTAACTATAAGGCGTACAAAGCCGTTGAAAAACAATTATGTATGTATATTTCACATTTATCTATTTAAAAAAAAAAACAAAACATGATTGTTTATGAAAAATATGTGTCGATTATTTTCAATCAATTCACGCGAATTTCAACAAACTGAGGTGGCGAAAATGGAAATGGAAATTTTACGGCGGTCAACCGCATACCAGCTACACCAGCCAGCCGCCCACATGCGGCAGGCGATGAAATAGAATTCAGAAATAGCATAGCAAAAACAAAGTTGGAGAAAAACACAAAAAAATTAAAAAATAATATGGGGTAAGTGTAAACAAAACCCTCACTGATTTTATGCAGAAAACCAACATCAATTTAATGCGTCGAACTCAGCTGACCGCTATGATGAAAACACCAAGTAAATAAGAGAACAATGAGTTCACAGGTGTGACGTCACGCACAGGTTCATAGACTCACTCGGCTATACATGCACATAAATATATGTACATACTCACATATGTACTTGTGTATGTGTATAAAAAGAAAAACAAAGTAGAAAAGGCAAAACAAAAATTAATATTTCTTTGCTGCGCAGAAAGCTCAATACTTGCCAAATATTATTAATAAATCTTCCCTGGACCAGAGTCCAACAAAAAAAGCTGCCAAATTATGTGAGCCATTTTTTTATGTGTATGTATGTATGTTTATTAGTAAATTGAACTGAGCAGCTGTGGCAATTTATTTAAATTTAATGCATCCTCATAAATAACTGTTTCAAAAAATTTGGCGATCAGAATTTCAGAAATCTTTTGGAACAAAAACGAACAAGAATTTTAAGAATAATAAAAAAAAAAAACGATCAAAATTTTACAGACTCTTTATGTACATTATTTATCTACTTATTACTACAATTTAATGCAGCAAACTTTTTTTTAAACCAAGTTCATTCACTACATATATATACATTGTATGTATGTATGTAAATAAATAAATGCTTATATTTGTTGGCATGTAGTACACTATTTGGCAGCGCTTACAAAGCATTAGAAAATACATACATACATATGTGTATGTACATACATACAAAAAAAAACAAAAACATTTTATTCTAAATGTGAAATGCTAGGAATGAAAATAGAATTCACGAGCGCATCACGGAAATTGAAAATCAAAATAGTGCAATAAAATACATAAATTCACTTCACGAGACTCAAATAAGTAGCAGCAGCGCACGCTTGAGTGATCAATGAAACTAAATGAGCATCTAGTATTTAATTAGAAATTCACAGTTATTGACATATGTACTTATTACATACATATGGATGAACGGTGTTTGGTTTATTAAATTTGCAATGTTTTTCAAGCTAAAATTTTTTTTTTATATTCTTTCATAAAAATATGTTGCATGCTTTAACAAAAACCATACAAATCACACTTTCAAACCTTATACAGAATTTAGAAAAATTCCACAAATTTTTATCTAAATTTCATGCTTTTTAACCAGAATTTGTACAATTTTTTTGAGTATGCTGTTAACAGGCTTATAAAATTTTTGTAAAAAAGTGCAAGTTTTGAGCGGCTAAAAAATCGCATTGATTTTTAATATTTTTTTTTTTTGTTGATGGCGTTTTGCACTTTTTTCCATATAAACATTAAAATTTTGTGGAAGAATATGCGCGAGACCGTTTGCGAAAAAATGTAAAAAAAATTCAACGCCAGGTTTTATAAATTTCGCAATTTATGTGAAAAAATCCGCAAAAGCCACCAGCAAAAAAAGAAAATATTAAAAATCAATGCGATTTTTTAGCTGCTCAAAACTTGGATTTATGTTATTAAAATTGTATAAGCCTGTTAACTGCATCCTCAAATAAGTTATAAATTCCAGGTTAAAAAGCACGAAATTTAGATAAAAATTTGTAAAATTTTTCTTAATTCTGTATAAAGTTTGAAAGTGTGATTTATATGGTTTTTCTTAACATGGTTCATGTTTTATTAAAAAAATATCAACAAAACTTTAGCTTGAAAAACATTGCAAATATTAAAAACGAAACACGATTCATCCATTTTTGACCGCCATTGTACAAACACATATGTATGTATGCACACGTCTATTAAATACATATATCCACGTATGTACGAGGGCCAATCAAAAAGTAATGATAATCAGTAAGTATGTATATTTATTATGCAATAATTATTCCTTTAAATTAAATTTATTTTTCAACGACGCCGATACATTTAGTCCATCGCTTCTCTAGAGCTTTTATGTCTTAAAAAAAAACAAAAAATTATTTCTCTTGATCCTCGAAAAATGCTTTTACGGCAGCTATCGTCGTCGAATTTCCTGCCTCTGAGCAATTCCTTGAAGCGAGGAAGGAGATAGAAGTCGCTCGGGATAGGACGGTGAAGAAGGCCCGGTACAATGTTCTTCTTCATTCAGTGTTCTAACTCACTTTAACTCCTCGGCCCACTTTCGGAGCTGTATGATATTTAGGAGCAAAGTGTGTTTTGTTTCCTCTATGTCGACACGTATTTCTGTTCAGGCATTGGTACCTTGGTTATATATCGCTCGTACTGTAAAACCTTCTTAATGCTCGAAAATGTTCAATTTTACGACCTCATATCGAGTTCAATGTCATTGGTGTTGCGACTACTAAGGATTCGCTTAGTAACCCTAGTATGCAAGTGAATACCGTTGCATTAGTGTGGTTAGGCATTACAAATACCCGCTTATCATTACATTTTGATTGCCCATCATGGGTATGTACATCCTATCTCGGCAGCCAGTTCGAAAAAACTTTATCTCAGAAATTTTTTCAACAACGCCCTATTTCAGAATTTTATTGGAAAACACCATATGTCAGAATTTTGTTGAAGAACGCCCTAACTCAGCTGCCAATTCAAAAATGCCCTATCAAAGCACATATTCAATGTATTTTCGTTTGAGATAGGGTGTTTTTGAACCGAATTCTGAGATAGGGCGTTCTTCAATAAAATTCCGAAGTTGCGCGTTGTTGGAAACTTTTCCGAGATAGGGCGTTTTCGAACTGGCTGCCGCTATAGGGCGATCTTCCACTCAGCCATCGATATACTCTAATAATGACTTCCGCATGAAACTCAAAAATAACTTGCACGGTTTGTTTTTATGCGGATTTAGATAATGAAAAAAAATTGGTTCATTGCAAAACAAATAATTTCAAATGTTTTCCAGAAAACGGGAAACGGATCAACAA